GGACCACCAGCTGCACCACTTCTACCTCCGGTACACTCCACTCCAGCACCCCCAGAACCAGAAACGTCTCCAGCGCCGGTGCCACCCTCGAGCCCGCCGGGACAAGCCACGACAGGAGCCCCAGGAGCACCCTCTCCAACTCCAGCACCCCCAGAGTCCACGAGCGGCTGCGGCTGCGGCTGCGGCGGCGGTGACGGCGGCAGCTGCGGCGGCGGCTGCGGCGGCGGCTGCGGCTGCGGCGACGGGTGCGGCTGCGGTGGCGTCTGCGACGAGGGAGGAGGAGACACCAGGGGAGGGACAGACGGCGCAGACTGCGACGCGGGGCAAACGAAGTCAGCCGTTTCCTCTACCGGGACAACCGACGGGAGGGGAGTGACGTGAGACACACCAGACGGAGCAGGACGGGGAGGGAGGGGAGCAGGGGCGACCGGGGGAGTGGGAACCAGAAACAGAGGGGGGGAAACCGCGAGACCTCGGTGAGGAAAGCGGTGGAAAAGGGAGACAGACTCGTCGAAAGTGACATCACGGGAGTGAAAGAAGCGGTGAGACGGCGGGTGGTAGAAGGGCCAGTCAGACGAGTCAAGGGGGAAACAGAGGAAGATAAAGGAGACGGTGCGGGCAGTGAGCTTGTCCACGCCGAAGGCACGAACGTGAGCAAGGCAGCCCCAGACGTGGAATGCATACGCGTCAACAGGGAACCCGGTCCAAAGAAGGGTCGGCGAACCTGTGGCCGCTGAGAGTAAGGACAGAGGTTAAGCTGGTGAGAGGCGTAGCGAACGGCGAACGGCCACAGAAAATGGGGTGCACCGGCATGGATCATGGAGGTACGAGCCACCTCCATGACCAAACCGATGCGTCGCTCAGTGACCCCATTCTGCTGCGGGGAGTACGGTAGGGTGTACGTATGGGTGATACTCTCCGCACCACAGAACTAACCCAGCCGACTAGAGACAAACTCGCCGCCACGGTTGGAGTGGAGACACAACACAGGGAGACCGCGGTGGAGGCGCTCAGCGGCGAGCCATGAGATAAGAACGTCAGGCACGTCGGCCTTCCGCTCCAGGGGAAACACCGTGGTGTAGCGCATGAAGTCGTCAACGAGCACAAGAAAGTAGCGCTCGCGACGCGGCCCAAGGACACGGGTGGGCCCTAGACGTCCAAGTGCAGGGTCTGAAGGGGTGCAGTGGCAGGGCGAAGTGAAGAGGAGTGAGGAGCACGGCGCAGCCGACCCTCGACACAGGGCGTGCACGGCGGCGCAGGCGAGGGAGGGAGAGCAGGGAGCGATGCAGGTAGGCCGAGGACTAGACCGTGTTGAGACATGTGACGTACGCGGTGGAGCGCGGGGTGACCTAGATGGTGGTGCCACAACAGGGACGTGTAAGTGAGCGACCGACAAAAGCAGGCAGCAGCTACCTGGGTGGACGCAGGACCGGAGGAGGACTCACCCGCCGGGTGGGAAGCAGTGTCTAGCATAAACAGGCCAGATACATGGTCCCGGGGGAACGTCGCAAAGGGGGCACCTGAGGCGGCCTCGGAACAGACCGCGTACCGCTCGTGATCAGGGAACGTAGTGGTGACACCGAGGTCCTGAAGACAGCCGACACCAACTAAGTTCCTAGAGAACAAAGGGATGTGCAGGCCTGTAAGGGAACCCGAGGGAACCGCCGGACAGGGAAGGGTAGTGTAGCTACGAGGAACTATAGGACTAGAGGAGGGGTCCGCAAGGACGACAGCGGCAGGCTCAGGAAGTGGCGTAAGGGCGGCGTGGTCGCGGAAGAAACAGGCTGACGTACCAGAGTCTAGAGTGAAGGACAGCAACGCCGTAGTGGCCGACGACGAAGGAGCAAGGGTAGAGCCTAGGCCAGACAAAGCAAGCTGTCCTACGCCTGACGCAGTTGGGGAGTCTGGACTACACACACGTGCTATGCCTAAGCTAGAGAACACATAGTAATACGATCCGGAAACACTCGAAGCATCAGCATACAGAGAATGCAAGGCAGAACTAATCTGATCCATGTCTAAGTCAAACACAGGCACACCGTGGCGCAGCAGGCTGGGCCAGTCAGGGAGGTCTGGGGCGGGACCAAAGCGGCGACGGAAGAGGTCGTCGAGGCGGCGGAAGCAGGGGGCAGTAGGGTGCGAACGGCGGCACACCATGCCACGCAGGGGCCCGGTCTGATGCTGGTACTGGCAGCTCACAGCACCGAAGCTGCCGGTGGACGCCGAGCTGCGAGGGCCACCACCACGACCACCACTGCCAGGGGCTCCTGGCCACCCGGGCGGGAGACGAGCCCACGGCTGCTGCTGCTGCTGCTGTGACGGCTGCTGCTGCTGCGACGGCTGCGACTGTGGCAGCTGCGACTGCGGCGACTACTGCTGCTCCTGGGCACCAGCACCAACCCCCTCGTCAGAACCACTGTCCCCACCACCACCACCACTAGCGCCACCTACACGTCCTCCCTTGGGGCCACGGCGGCCCCGGCACTGGCGCTGCTGCGGGTAAGCCGCAGCTGCTGTCTCAGGTGCAGGCGCAGTCGTGGCAACTGCGGCGAAACGTCAGCGTCCGTGCACTAGGAGGGGGCACAGCCCTGAAAGATAGGGATTGCCGCAACACCGCTTGACTGAGCGATAGTGCGCTCGCGAGTCTCTATCTCAGACAGAGTAGTGACAAAGGCGGTCAGGGTGAGATCGGCAGGGTGCTGACTAAGGAAGTGGTCGCGGGCAATGGCTAAGCGGTCAGGCAGGCGCATGGCGATGAGGTACAGGGTAGCGTAGAAAGGTGGGGGGAAGGCAGTAAGCTGGGCGACAGAGCTAGCAGTACGATAGCTGGTCATTAGTGCACGGAGGTGAGTAGCGAGGTCAGCTACCGTGGGGAAAGCAGAACGATCAGGGAAGAGCATGGGTAGGATCAAGCGGCTAGCAGAGGCGGAAGCAGGTGTGGAGTAACGCTCAACTACTGCAGCGAGAAAGTCCTTGGCGTTCGCGACAGCGGTAAAGCGCGGACACTCAGACAGAGGGAGGGTATGGCTAATGGCAAGCTGGGCTACTGCGTCGCGAGAATCCCAGACAGCTCGAGCAAGCGCAGCAGCAGCAAAAGCCTCGCTCTCAGCAGTGGTAGGGTCAGCAAGGAGGGGATCAGGCGTAGGGGGGCGGGGAGGCAAACCATCAACATGTATAGCCAGCGTGCCCATCCTGGCGCTGACCTGTCAGGTGCCGGCGGAGGTCGACGAGCCAGGCGGCGAAGTCGATCGCGTGCCCCTCAGCGTCCAAGCGTAGAACGGCGTCCGCCATCGCACAGTGTGACAGCGGCACAGCGGCTCAGCGGCGCAGCGACTCGGCGGCTCGGCGGTGCGGCGGCTCGGGGTCACGGCGGCACGGCGGCTCGGCGGCACGGCGGCTCGGCGGCTTGGCGGCGCGGCTGCTGGGCGGCTCGGGGACACGGCGGCTCGGCGGCTCAGGCGACGAGGCCGGCTAGGACGCAAGGGACCGGCTAGGGCACAAGGGGCCGGCTAGGGCGAGTGGGGCCGGCAAGGGCGCGTGGGGCCGGCTAGGGACGCGGGGGGGGGGGGGGGGGGGGGCGGTAGGAGCACGAGGGGCCGTAGGGGCGCAAAGGGCCGGCTAGGGGCGTGAGGGGTCGGTAGGGGCGCGACGGGGCTGTCTAGGGGCGCGAGGGGCCGTAGTGGAGCGCGGGGTCGGCTTGGGGCGCGACAGGGCCGTAGGAGTGCGACGGGCCCGGTAGGGGCGTGACGGGGCCGGCTAGAGGCGCGACGGGGCTGTAGGGGCGCGACAGGGCTGTAGGGGCGAGACGGGGCAGTAGGAGCGCGACGGAGCTAGCTAGGGGCGCGACGGGGCCGGCTAGGGGCGTGAGGTGCCGTAGGGGCACGACGGGGCCTGCTGCGGGCACGACGGGGCTGTAAAGGCGCGACGGGATCTGCTAGGGGCGCGACGTGGCCCGCTAGGGGCGCGACGGGGCCGTAGGGGCGCGCGGGGCAAGCTAGGGGCGCGCGGGGCCAGCTAGGGGCGCGAGGGTCCGGTAGGTGGCGGCACGGGGCGGAAGCGGGTGGTTTGACCTACCTACTCGTGATACCATGTTAAGACTAGAAAGAATGATTAGAAGAAGGAAGAAAAAATGAGATATAGCATTTGGATTGTACCCACTAAGAACGTACCCTATCCAGCCTATAACTTCTAGATAACAATATATGTAGAAGTTGACAAGAGGAGCAAATTTAACAATTGTGCAACATAAACCTACTGCCCAAGGGCAGATGAGAAATATTCGGGGGTAAAATGATGAAAAAAATAACCCAGAGTTTGGAGATGCACTCATTATCTCACAACCTTAGGGGAGGCCCAAGTTCGCTTTTATTGGGGCCAAGCTTTGGCGGTTGCATTCTAGGGGTGTGGAGGCCTAGTACACCTGCGCGGCTGATGTAACGCCGAGCGCAAGGTGGACTGCGCGATTGAGCAAACGTCAACATTGCGTTTAGTCTGCGTCAGATTTGTCAGGGAGGGAAGCGAGGGAGTGTGCTTCCGTGACGTCGATGTCATCTGTAGGTGGACACATTCTGCAGGCATCTCGATGTAACCAGGTTCGGGTACATTGTGCAAGGTTTGGAAGGATTTTTTCGGGCTGACCCTCGATCCAAGGCAAAAAATCGCGCTTTAGGAAGGTGCTCTGATATAATCAGTACCTTCCTTTTTGGCCTACAGAATGCAGCCTTAGCGCAAGTTCGAGAATTATGCAAGTTCATAACGGCGCGTATAAGTGATTCAAAATCTGACGTCAATTGATGTGATGTCAGGATACCGAAGTCTTTTGGTTACGAACCATTCCGAAACGTAAGGAAGTTAACAGAACTGCGTAAAAGTCAAGATTTGTTGTCGCGTGATTCACTTTATACACGCCCTAAGGTCACTGTGTCTGTACGGAACGACCCTGCCTTCGGCGGCCGAAGGCGCTGGCTTCCCGAGCTATTTGGAGATGAGTCCGTCACTAGCTGTATTTTCCAAATGCTTGGCAAGTTCGACTAGCGAGTCGCTCTCGATTGCACATTCGTTGGACACGAGGACTGTCGCTTGTGTCCATTCGTTACACCCGCGTACAATGGACTCGAACTCGCCAGCCAGCACAACGGATTTAGGTTAGAACGACGCCATCGGCGAGGGTGACGAAGAGCGTACCTCGAGGAAGGAATCCCAAGGGCAGGTTCCGACGCAGTAATGTCGTCAGGTATGCTTCTCGAGAGGCGTTGCGCGTTGGGACAGAGTGTCGCGGCAATCAACAAGGACAGACTCGCTCTCGATTGCGCACTCGTTAACCACGAGAACAGTCGTTGCGCCAATCTAGAGTGGACATTCCGAAAGGCGCGTCAGCGGGCGCTGCGGTGCTAGGTTTCCAAGCGTACCTGCTCATTGTGCCTTTGATACAAGAAATGAGCCCGCGGTTTGAGTATTGTTCTTGTTCTGTGTCCCGTTAGGCTTTTGAGAATGCCTTTCACGTGTGATTTTTGCAAGCAACACAGGAAGCGCACGAGCAGGGAGATTTGTGGGTGTTGTGTACAGAAGTTCAATTCTCGGGAGCGTTATTTAGAACGGATTAACGACAACGCTGAAGTTCAACTGGTAAGGGCCAAGAGGGAAGCACAAGAACACTTAGAAAGAGTCAAGCGGGAAGCGGAAGAAAAGACACTCTCTCTAGAACGTCAGCTTGAAAGCTCTAAACGGCAGGTGGACGAGCTGAAGAAACATCTGGATAAGCGGCAGCTATTTTCTGTTACGGTCAAGGGGATGCTGGACATGTCGTTTTGCGATGTTATTCTGGAGACGTGCGACGGAGGGAAAATTTCTTCTCATCGCTGCATTCTTGCTGCATGGTCAGTAGGCTTGTGCTACCTCCGTGGTGTTGTTGATAAGGAAGATATTAGGTGGCTGTTGGCTTGTTGAAGCACGTGCTGCCATTTGATTCAGTGGAACGTTAATGTGTTTTGCTCAAAATTTGGTCAGTCAAGGCAGCCATGATTCCCTCATCCCTTGTGCATGCAGGTCTCCTGTTTTTGCCAAAATGTTTGGCAGTGGCTTTGAAGAGGAGAAGAAAGACTCCATACTGATACACGATATAGAGTGCTCTACACTGCAGCAGCTTCTCGAGTTCATGTACACTGGCCAGCTCAAAATTGATGATGCAACAATCCAGGTTACTAACTGACAATGCGCTACAAAGTGCCTGGTTAAATATACTGTTTACTGTTTTCTGCTCATTTATGTTTCCAACGTTTTGACTGCCCTTTTTGCTGCCATTCTGGTGCAGGAATTGAAGCTCCTTGCAGCAGCTGACAAATATGAAGTTCTGCAGCTCACTAAAGCCCTTGATTCTTATCTTTGCACAAATGTGAAAGACGGCATAGTCTTTGAGTCCTGGAAAGCAGCTAATCTGCATAACGCTCCATTGCTGAAAGAAGCTTCTGCAAGGTACATTTCCAGCACAATGGATCGTGAAGCGACTGCGAAGATTCTCAAGGTGTGTCCTTTTTTTGCTATAATTTTGTGATTACCTAGTGGCCACTTTGATAGTTTCTGAATTGCGCATGCAGACCAAGATATTGGCAGATGACGTTCATGAAAGAATGATGGCGGCAGATATTTTAGAGATGTGGGCTGAGAACTCATGAAAGTCTGGTGCAAGGTTGAGAATCCACAAAGAGTTATCTGTCAAAGTATATATTTAAAATCTTTGTGTAGGCTTGGTAGTTGTGCTACTTACTGAATCCTACTGTAGAGGGGACAACCCCCCCTTCTTGTATCTCCTCTTCTAGTCCCTCTTCTCCTCCCTCTCATAACTCTCGCCCCCTAGCTAAACATGAATAATTTTTTTTAGGAATAAAAAATTAACAGATTGTGATTCGATTTGAAGAGGAGTTTTGCTGTAAAAGAGATAAGCTCCTTCACATTCTCGCAGGTCCGATGGATCTGCCACCTAGTTTCATTCTCATTTCTCTTCTCTGATTGCTTACTACCATCAGCACACTCTAAACCCCTCCTATGCCCAGACCTGCGCATAGGAGCACGCTACTTGCGGACGTGATTGCCGCACGCTTTTCTACCATGACTGGAGGAATTGTTTCTGCTGCAACTGGTCGTCCTCCTGTTTCAAGAATGAATCTAAGGAGCAATGGACGACGTGGATCCCCTGTGCGTGAGGGAAGCCAAGATTCTTCCACTCACCGTAATTGTTCCCGTTCTCCACGCAACAGAAACGCATCTGTTACTGCATTGGATCTGCTGAATGGCGCTCGGCGAAACCCCATTCAGCAACCCGGATTGGCTCCCGTCTGCTGCAGGGAATGGGGGTGCAAGGATGTGGGGGTGCTGCGGGTGGGATGTGTCAAAGTATATATTTAAATAAATCTTTGTGTAGGCTCGGTAGTTGTGCTACTTACTGAATCCTACTCTAGAGGGGACAACTCCCCTTTCTTGTATCTCCTTCTCTTCTAGTCCAACCTCTTCTCCTCGCTCTCATAACTCTCGCCCCCTAGCTAAACCTCTCGCCATTTTATGGCGTCCTACCTAGCTACCTTCTAGCAACCTCACGACCTATTTCGACATTATCTTGTTCTGAGCACTAATTGTGTGTCAACATATATTTTTGTACCGTAATCCCTTGGATATAACTGTCAAACTTATATTTATATGTTGCTATAGGCTAGATAGGTGCGTACTCTTAGAGAGTACAACCACTTCGACAAAATCACCATGTATCGACATCCTAGAAAAGTTTTCCCACTACTCTAACATGGAATCAGAGCTAGGTTAGGTGTTCTTTCCGCTGTTACTCACGCTTCCGCCGTTAATCATGCTTCCACGCCGTTACTGTAGCTTCTTTTATTTTTGCGCATGTGACTCTTTCCATTGCGCACAAACCCCCCCCCCCCCCCCCCCCCCCCTCGACCCCAATTTCGTGCTTCGTAGCCTCAAGCTTCCCCCCCCCCCCCCCCCTTAGCGTTCGATTTTTTATTCGTGCGGTAGTCAGCTGGCCGGCACGCCAGCAAGCACGCTAGCGAGCTCGCCAGCCAACGCGCCAGCTAGCTAGCCAGCCCGTTAACCAGCTCACTAGCCAGCCGCCTTTGCAAGCTCGCCGCCAGCAGTGCTAGCTAGCTTGACGACAACAGCGCCAGCCAGCTTGCTGCCAGCAGCTTCCGCCAGCTCGCCGCCAGCAGATAGTCGTCCGCAGCGCCTGCCAGCTCGTCGCTGGCCAGCTTGCCACTGCGACTGCCCCTGCCACTACGTGTCAACAAATATATTTATATAGATTAGCAAGGTCATATTTGTTTATAGCCTAGCTAGTTTAGTTCTTAGCGAGTACAGCCCTAGTTTTGTATCCCTCGACATTTTCCCTTAGTCACACTTTTCCCGCTACTCTAACACTACAAACACAGTCAACCCCTGCCAATGCAGCCGCCACTGCCACTGTAGCCGCTGCCACTGCCGCTGCTGTAGCCGCCACTACTGCCTCCTGCCCGTCTGCGCCCGCTGGCTTCGATCTCGCCAGCCTCGCGCCTGCTGACCTCATGTTCGCCAGCCCCGCGCCCGCCAGCCTAGCGCCCGCTGGCCCTGCTTTCGCTAGCCCTGCGCCCGCAGGCCCCTAGCTATCCGGCCCCAGCCCGCCCGCCCTATTTCGCTCCGTCCCCCAGCTCGCTGGGCCTCCTTGCCAGCTGGCCCCTAGCTTGACGGCCCTGCGCTCGCCAGCCCCAGTTTGCGCCGACCCCGGTCCCGCCGTGCCGTCGTGTCGCAGTGCCGTGGTGCCGCCGTGCCGCAGTGCCGCCGTGCCGCTATGCCGCCGTGTCACCATGCCGCTGTGCCGCCATGTCACCGAGCCGCCGTGGCGCCATGCCGTCAAGTCGCTGTGCCGCTATGCCATAGTGCCGCAGTGGCGCTGTGTCGCCATGTCGCCTTGCCGCTGTCTCGCCGTGTCGCCGTGCCACCGTGTCGCCGTGTCGCCGTGCCGCCGTGTCTCCGTGCCGCCGTGCCGCCGTCAGCAGCTGAGGACGTGGGATGGCGGACGTTGTGCTCCGCCTGGACGCGGAGGACCGGGCGATTGACTTTGAGGCGTGGCTCGTCGACTTCCGCCGTCACTTGACAGGGCAGCGCCAGGACGGTTACTCCCTTACTGTTCATATCGATGGTACGCTTCACCACCCCCCCGCGCCTGCTGCCCTCCCTGACGCCCCGACCACTGCTGAGCGTGAGGCCTTTTCCACTGCTGCACTTGCTCGCGCTGTCTGGGGGTCGCGCGCCGTTGTCGCACAGCTTGCTATTAGTTACGCCCTCCCCCTGTCTGAGTGTCCCCGCTTTACCACTGTAGCAAACGCGAAGGAATTCCTAGATACAGTTATCGCGCGTTATTCCACCCAGCCTCAGCCTCGGCCGGTTGCCTGATCCTCCCCATGTTGTTCCCTGACCTTGCAACCTTCCCCACTATCGCTGACCTTGCCATGCATCTCCACGCTCTGGAGGCTAGCTACCGCGCCACTAGCACTGAGGCACAGCTCACTGCCTTCCCGCCGCCGCTCTGCGCTAGCCTTTACCTTATTGCCACTCGCCTGCCTGACCGCCTAGCCATTGCCCGCGACCACTTCCTTAGTCAGCACCTAGGTGATCTCACCCTTCCTGCCTTTGTCACTGCCCTGTCCACGATAGAGACCTGCCAGCGCACTATCGCTCCGTCTAGCGGTACTGCGCCGGTCCCTATCCTCCAGGGCTGTGCTCCCTCCCAGTGCACTTACTCTGACGTTTCTGCCGCAGCAGCTGAGACAGCCCCTGCTGCTGAGACTGCCGCTACGGCCTCAGCGCAGCCGCGCCAGGGTAGGGGCCGCCGCGCCAAGGGGGGCCATGGCAGATGAAAGGGTGGTGGGGGTGGTGGAGGTGGCTGCGGTGGGGGCGGGGACGGTCGTTCAGACGAGGGGACCGGGGCTGGTGCCACGGAGCAGCAGCAGCACCCTCAGCAACAGCAGCAGCAGCAGCCTCAGCAGCAGCAGTCGCAGCAGCTGCAGCAGCAGCCACCGTGGGGACACCCCCCCGCCGTGGTGGCCTTGTGGCGCTAGTGGTGGTGTTCGTGGTGGTGCTCCATATGGCTCGGTGTCAGGTGGTGGCTCCAGTGTGGCCACCTACCAGTACCAACTCCAAACCGATCCCCGTCGCGGCACCGTCTGCGACAGTCCAGGTCACACCGCCACCCGCTGCTACCGCCGTCTCGACGACATGTACCGTCTCCGCTCTGGTCCCACCTCGGACCCTCCTGACTGGTACGCCCTGGCCCGTCGCCGTGTGCCCGTCTTTAAGGTTGACATGGATCAGATTAGGGCTGCTATGTATGTCATGTATGCTGATGACTATAGTGTGAGTGGCACGACATGCTGCGTGCTACGTTAGCTGGCCTGCAGTTCTTCCTTTTGTCTGCAGGCCCCTCGCTCTTCGTTCGTGCTGGCCAGACCCCGTTCTACATCCTTGTATACGTAGACGACCTAGTCTTCACTACTGCAGGCAGGGACGCACTGGCCTCCATGAAGGCTGAGCTGCTGAGGAGACACACCTGCACTGACCTAGGAGAGTTGCGCTGCTACCTTGGCTGGCAGATCTCCAGGGACAGAGCAGTGCGCACGATCACTCTTACACAGTCACACTTGGTGCGCCAGGTCCTTCAGAGGTTCGGCCTTCAGTTCTCCTCCGCATAGCCCACACCTCTGCCCGTAGATCACAAGCTCTCGGCTCCAGTCCCCGAGGAGTCTGTCGAGCCTAGTGGCCCTTACGCAGAGCTGGTGGGTTGCCTCGTGTACCTGATGAGTTGCACTTGTCCAGATCTCGCATACCCTCTCAGTATCCTGGCTCGCTTTGTGGCCACAGGCAGACACCGACCACAGCACTGGTCGGCCGCTAAGAGGGTTTTGCATTATCTAGCAAGTACATCGGGCATGGGGCTAGTGCCAGGAGGACGCAGGTTAGTGGTCCTTACAGGTCATATAGACGCAACGTGGGCAGACAACGCTGAGACGCTCAGGTCCTCCCAGGGCTACTGCTTTAGCCTTGGTGGAGGCGCCATCTCGTGGAGGCCCACCCGCTCATCGTCTGTTGCCCATTCTAGCTGTAAGGCTGAGATCTACGCTGGTGCCATGGCGGCACAGGAGTTCCGCTGGCTGACTTTCTTGCTCACAGACTTAGGTGAGCGGCCTAGCTCTGCCTCAGTCCTGTACGCTGACAACATGGCCATGATCCTCCTGTGTCAGGAGCCTCGACTAGAGGGCAGAGCGAAGCACATCCAGCTATGGTACGTCCTCCTGCGTGAGCTACAGCAGTGCTGCCAAGCCCGCGTAGTACACTTGGCCTCCGGTGCCAACACAGCTGATATCTTTACGAAGGCGCTTGCGCCAAAAGATCATCAGCGGCACTGTGTACAGCTTGGTCTAGTTCTTGTAGCTTCTCACTTGCTAGGACCTTGATTATGTACATGTCTTTATTTATATTTTACCCTGACTGGCCTTGTGGCTTTCTCCCAGTGGCTGGACTAGTAGTGCCGCCCTGGTCTTGCTCTTGCCTTGGTTTGTACTTTTTTTACTGGTCTTTAGACCCTTGCCTCAAAGGTTGGGCTTGTAGTGCCACCCTGAGCTGTGTGTCTCTTGTCCGGCAGTGCCTCTTATCTAGCCTAGGGGGTGTGTCAAACATATATTTATATCTTGCTATAGGTTAGATAGGTGCATACTCTTAGATAGTACAACCACTTAGACAAAATCACCATGTACGACATTCAAGAAAACTTTTCCCGCTACTCTAACAATAACACCCCGCGTATAGT